CTAAGGGCAATCCTGAAGGCTAAACCTGTGACAGTGAAAACTCTATGACTAGAGCAAATGGTAGATTCTGTGGCAAACATCATGGTGCTGGAATTGTAGAACAAGAGGCTCAGAGTAAAATTTCTTCCTCCACACTAACTATGGAATCAAAGTTCACTGTTGTTTTAAGAAAATAAGGTTTCTCAGCTATGTAAAAGGGAGCATATTATCAGTCAAAAATATTGTTTGTCCCATTCCTCAGGCCCAACAGATTTTGCCTACATAAAACTAACTCCGAGAGTTTTAAGTGACAACCTCAGAGTCTAACCTAAATTTCTTTTTTTGTAATGTCGCAGAATACTATACTAAAGTCCTACACCACAGTATACTCTTGGATATATGGCAGCACTTCAAAAGCAACTAAAGCACATTCTATGGTTTGCATATATTTGGGGATAAAAAGACATTACATTGTAGTAAAAGCGCCAGCAAGTTTAGTTAAAGTAATGCAGGCACAATGACTTAATCATGTTGAAAAGCAGTTCTAAAGAGCTAGTCTAGAAATATTTTAGAATAATATTGCCACAAAGCTATTAAATTGTACCCTCATGGTTCCTGTTAAACATACTTCATTTAGCTGGAGAGATCGACATTAAGTACTGAAATTTATCATTAGGTTTCATAAAGTTGAAAGTTTGGTTGGATTCAGCTTTGAATTTAGTCAGTTAGTGGTCTTGCTTGTGGCAAATCTGAGGCAGAGGATTTTACCTGTGCACAGCACCCCAATATATACCAACTATAGGTTTCCCTAAACTGTAAAAGGCTGTTTAAAGGAGCAGTTCTCAGTACTCATTTAAAAGTCTCCAAAAACCACATTCAAATTGTAACAATTTGGTTTATTTCAAATACTAATTGCTTACAATAAAACGTGTTTTAAGGTTTATGTAGAAATACTTTTTTGCAGTTGATTATGCAAAGAAAACAAATTGAAAATGCTTACTTGGGGTACATGGGCTCATAAAGGTACTTGTCTCTTGCTGATGGGATATCAAAAAATAAGATGTATCCATTTGCAGTCTGAAAGAAAGACAGAGAGATTAGAAGCTGCATCTTATTAGCGTTGTATTTAGGACATCCCATGTAAAATTAAAGGAATTCCAGTGCAGAGGCAGAATAGGATCTTGGAGTCATCATTGATGCCAAGATGAATATGGACAGGCAGCGTGGGGATGCAGTCAGGAAGGCCAACTGCACCTTGTCATGCATCCAGAGATGCATCTCAAGCAGATCCAGGGAGGTGATCCTCCCCCTCTATGGGATACTGGTCAGGACGCAGCTGGAGTACTGCATCCAGTTCTGGGTGCCACACTTCAAGACGGATGTGGACAACATGGAGAGGGTCCAGAGGAGGGCCACTCACATGATCAGGGGGCAGCAGGGCAGGCCCTACGAGGAGAAGCTATGGGACGTGAACCTGTTCAGCCTCCACAAGAGAAGGTTGAGGGGGAATCTAGTGGCCTGTTACAAACTAGTCAGAGGGGACCCAGCAGGCATTGGAGGAGTCCCTGTTTCCCTGAGCACCACCAGGAGTTACTAGAAATAATGGTCACAAGCTGGCAGAGGGTAAATTCAGATTAGACATCAGGAGGCGCTACTTCACTGTCAGGGTGGTTAGGATCTAGAACCAACTTCCAAGGGAAGTGGTGCTGGCTCCTACCCTGGGGGTCTTTAAGACAAGGCTTGACAAACACCTTGCCGGGGTCGTTTGACCCCAGTACTCTTTCCTGCCATGGCAGGGGGTCGGACTTGATGATCTGCTCAGGTCCCTTCTGACCCTACTAACTATGAAACTATTAATTGTAGCCAGAACGATCAGAGAAACCTCAAAACATTTTACATACTTAAACAAAACAGCCAGCAAGAAACAATCCTTAGCTACTTTCCCATAACAATCCTACCAAAACAGATGCAACACTATGATCCTTCTAAAGATACTTAATATAACATGCCAATCCTGAAAGGGAGGCTTCAGTTAACTTTAGTCTTTGATTGGTAAACTGTTTCTAAATCCGTGGAGTAACCAAGATGAGGCACCTGCCCTCAGCACATGTAGGCAGGGCCATCCCTAGGGTGGGGATAAATCTGGGCAACCACCCTGGGCCCTGCACTTTGGGGGACACTGCCACAGCCACCAACTCCAGCCACTTGCCTTCTCCCTCCTGCCCGACAGCTCGCCACCCCCCAACCCTGCATGGGCTGATTTGCCTCAGGCCCTGCACACCCCTTGGGACAGCGCTACACACAGGAAAAAGCAATGTGATCACTATTGCATGGTATGGAAGCAACAGCAAACTGCCCTGTATGTGGTAGCTGTCCCAGGCACTGATTTGTGTTGTTACATTTCTGTTCTGAATAGGCCAGGGGCAGGCAATTATTTTGGGCGGAGGGCCGCTTACTGAGTTTTGGCAAGCCATCGAGGACTGCATGATAGGCAGCCAGGGGCAGATTAATATTAATTTTCTAAATTTTTTAGGGGCCTCACGGGCTGGATATTATCTGGCCCCCAGGCCACATTTTGCCCACCCCTGGAATAGCCCATCATTGAAATTCACATGCCTTTCTGATAAAATCTATTGTCCATGTTATCTCATAAAATTCACCACATGAATCTAAAAGAACAAGGCAAAAATAGCAAAGCTGTTCAAATATTGTGATCTGTTGATACTAGAGGACTAAGGCCCTGATTTTTAAATGGTATTTAGGCATGTCAAGATGCTGTAAGGAGACTAGGAAGGATTTTCAAAGGCACACAACTCCCACCCAAGGACTCTTGGTGCAAAAAGAAATCAACAGTGATTAAGGTACCCAACTCCTGTCTTTTCAATGGCTTGGGGGAAGGAGGGGCGGGGGGGAGTTGTTGTAGCCATTTTGGTCTAAAGACATAGGTAGGCAAGGTGCTTTGGGTAGGTGAGATATCTTTTATTAGATACTACTTCATACTCAGTCGGTCTAATAAAAGATACCATATCTACCCAAAGAACTTTTTCAATGGTTTGGCTTTACAATACAATTTGGCAGGCACTTACAGGTATTTAGGCATCCAAAATACAGGACAATGTTCAGTGAGATTTTAAAAAGCACTTCCCTTCATTTCCATTCCATTGGAATTGGGTACCTACATTCTTATAAAAATCTGTCACAAAGCAACTTCAAGACTGCATACAAAGAACAACACCTACAATAAACTCTAGTGTATCATATTTCCTGGTATACAAGACATTTTCTTCTCCCTCGAAAAATAAGGTCTAAAATTAAGTTATGCCTAATTTGTTACCTAGTCAAAGCTAGGTAACAAAAATAATTGAATTCACCGTATAATTAAATTAATGTTAAAATCTTTTTTCCCACAATTTTACCCTTTTTGAAAGGTGCATCTTATAGTACAGAAAATATTGTCAGACTCAGCACCTGACTGGAAGAGATGGAAAAAGGCTTGTTTGTATACTAGAGCACCATAATTCAAGCAGAGCTCAACCTCTGCAAAATTACATGAAAATAGCTTTAATCTAGTTTGATATAGTAGATATGAACTGTTTAGTCATTACAATTTACATGAAAAATTAGATATCCGTTCAGCACTGACCAGATAACCAGGAAGGTCCCAAATCAGCCAGCCAGCAGTTTCTTATCAGAAATTTAGATCAATTAGATAAACAGTCAAACGTGTTCCAACAAAGCTACATCTTATTCCAGTTATTTTAATACGGGATGGGTATTAACTCAAAGCAACAAGACTGAAGGCAAGAAGCAGTGAAATGAAAGGTTTCAAATTTCTTTCCAGGGCTGGTTTCCTGTTTTTCAGTTAAGTAACCAAAAAGGAAATGTGCTCTTGTTAGTTCAGCTCACTAGTTTAGACTTTTTTCCACCAATAAACTTATAGTTTATAATACATTCTATTTGTTTCAGCTTCAAACTAAACACAGAAACAAAGACAAATTAATAAATGTGATGGTTTACATTCTTCAAAGCAGCTTTTTCCTTCAAGGAAACTAAGTATGTACCATATTAATGACAGCAATTTGAGCTTCTCTATTTATAGTCTTCATGAAGCAAAAACACAATATAGTGTACAGAAACTTAATGTGCATCTACTTCTAACATCTACATGAGTTCTTTCCATTACTGGGTGACTGTTTAAATATTTATTTCCAAGGTTATCTTATACAGGTAGGAAAAGTAAAACAATACTGTAAAGTATCTTCATATTGACATTCAGATACAAAAGGCCTTCCTGAATTCCATCCTCAGTACAAGCTGCTAACGTCAGAAGATTTGCTTATGAACAGGACATCAAATGCCACCCTATAGCTGCTCAAACTGAGATAACTGAACATTTTTACTGTAAACTTGCAGCAAACAGGCCACTGTACTGCTTCAACTCAATATCTATGTTATGAGAGACAGGTTCTGTGGTAAATATTATTTTCCTGGAACTGCAGATAGGCCTTGAGTAAAATTTCTTCCTTCGCAATAACTATGGGATCAAAGCTCACCATATTTTTAAGAAACTGATGTCTTTCAGCTATATAAAAGGGAGCATATTATGATACAAATTATCATTTTACACTGCCAATACCACTCCCTTCCTATCCCCGCATCCTTGCATTTCAATAGACTATTGTAATGGCATGCTGTATTTGCTCTAAAAGTGTACATATTCATTATTTTGCAAGGGATTTATTTATAGGATTCCCATTAATATTTTCACAGCATGAAACAGTTAACTCTGCTCCTACAGCCTTTTGTTAAGAGCTGGTCCCTATTACACTTGCGAGTAGTTGGGTCCTGAAGAGCAAAAGGCAGCAGAAGACTCACAGAGAACAGGCACCAGGATAGGAAGGATTCTGAATACAGTGTATGCCCTGGGTTTGGACAGACTAGAGCTTCTTGGTTCTGTTGCATTAATCTATACTCCATATGAACATTTGGGCCCTAACACGATTCATGCTAGGACTCAGCCAGAGGTAATGTCAGAAAAGAGGAAGAAAGGAACCAAGAGAAAAGCAGCAGCCCAAGTAGATTAAAGAAAAAAGGAGACAGAGTAGAATGTCTTGGAGATCCAGACTGAGATCTGGGTCTGCTGCTGTCAACACAAAGAAAAGCCAAGATGAAGAAATGCAGCAAGGCAAACAGTAATGGCCCCTTTTATTAAAATTGGAATGATTCCAAAGCTATTTCAAGAAACTATTGCTGCTTGGGGTGAGTGTATTTAGTATTAAAGCTTATTTAACTAAGTCTCCATTAACAATATCTAGGCGTTTTCAAGGAGCACCAAAGACTTAAGTGAGGGCCAACAACTGTCGGCAGGCATGCCTCCCTGAGGACCACTCCAATCCCTTTTCCTTACCCAATTTGATGCTGTACTTTCTGCTCCTTGCCCTGTGTTCCATGACTGATCTGATACTTTGTTTTCTGTTCCCTGCCCTATCTGGCACTGCACTGCCGGTCCCCTCCCCAATCTGCCACATGCCCCACAAAGAAGCTGCCCAGACCACAGGTTGCCTAGCCCTGGCCCACTTGAAAAACATTATGAAATTCTTACTCAGAGATCATATGTGCAAAAGATGTACCTTATTGATTTATTTTGGTAGAGAAGTTAAGTGCTACTTAGATGTTGCCTCAAACAATTTATGATACTCAACCATATGTGATTAAATAAAGAATTATGAGAATTTCTAAGAGTTTCCCATCAGTTAATGTCCTTGAACAGTATGATTCCTGTTAAAATGCCTATGATTTCACCGCTCTTTACTGTCTGGTATGTTTACAATTTGAACAAGATACTGATTTTTGTTCTGCTCTTAGCTCCCTGCAGGGTAGCAAGGTGGAAACAATCATGAGGTTAACTCCCTGCACTGAAGCCAAGCAGGGATGAGCATGTGCTTAGCTCTTCATGCAAAGGGAGGAGGGAAGCAAGCACTTAGGCCTTAACATAGAGACTAGCAGGGACAAGAGTGAGCTTATCTAGCAGACAAGCCTGCACTTACCTCTTGCATAGAAGCCAGGAGGGGAAGAGC